TTTTTCCTTCCTTCATTGGAAGATTATTTTCTCCTTCATTGGAGCGATTTTTCCTTCCTTCATTGGAAGATTATTTTCTCCTTCATTGGAGCGATTTTTCCTTCCTTCATTGGAAGATTATTTTCTCCTTCATTGGAGCGATTTTTCCTTCCTTCATTGGAAGATTATTTTCTCCTTCATTGGAGCGATTTTTCCTTCCTTCATTGGAAGATTATTTTCTCCTTCATTGGAGCGATTTTTCCTTCCTTCATTGGAAGATTATTTTCTCCTTCATTGGAGCGATTTTTCCTTCCTTCATTGGAAGATTATTTTCTCCTTCATTGGAGCGATTTTTCCTTCCTTCATTGGAAGATTATTTTCTCCTTCATTGGAGCGATTTTTCCTTCCTTCATTGGAAGATTATTTTTTCCTTCATTGGAGTCAAATTTTCTTCTTCCTTCGTGGAAATAAAATTTTTTTCTTTCTTTGTGGAAGCTAATTTCTAATTATGTTTCTTACTTAGCTAAAGGCTAACTTTATTATTATTTTCTATTCTAAAAGCATCTCGTATATGTTGTCGCGGAAACGATCTCTCCATTTTTTTTGGAGGTGAAGAGCCTCATGCATTAAGAAATATCAAGTATCAGACTATCGAGGCTTGGTTAAAAGCTTGCTACTCTTTTAATTTTGTTCATGTCTTGAAAAAAGTAGATTGGGGGTATATATTCTTTATTTATTTATTTTAGTATTATTATAACAATATTTAACATTTTATAAATTTAGATATGGTTTTGTTCACTTCGCAAATGTACAAGACAAAGAAAGATTCTGGACGTATCTACAAAATAATAATAATATCATCGGTCCTGGTCATAAGATATTCAAATTCAGATGTGGTGTAAGTTTTAAATTTCATGTTTTTTAATTCACGTTACGTATATGTATTATCGTTATTGATTTCTATTTTCATAATACGTAGCAATCATCATCGCCATCTGACGATAACAATAATAACGATGACGATAATGATAATGACGATTATTATAGCGGCAGTAATATCGATAATGATAATAACGATAATAATAGCAGTAATAATCATAACGATAATGATACATGTAGTAATAATAATAGCGATAATGCAGCAACAACATCATCGAATAAACAAAATAACGATAATGACAGTAATAGTAATAGCGATAATGCAGCAACAACATCATCCTCGGATAAACCAAATAAAGATAATGATAGTAATAGTAATAGCGATAATGCTGCAACAACATCATCATCGGATAAACAAAATAACGATAATAATAGCGATAATGCAGTAACAACAACATCATCAGGTCAACTAAAAGCGTCGCAGTTATTGTTATCAGTAGCGGTATTATTGCCACCACCTCGATATAATATATATACAACCAGGTATGGGTTAAACAATCAACTGCTTTGAAATATAGCGATAGTAATACTAATTAATGTCAATTTTTGGATGCAGTAATGAAATCATAATTTGTTTAATTGCACCGGGACTAAAAAAGACTACGTTAGAAATATTCGTCTATGATGCAAAAAAAATTATTATAAAGTATACTAATTACAGAATAGAAGGTGGTGAAAAGGTAAAGGAGGATTTCGTCTTACCTTTAGGTGAGGAAATGGCATTTGCAATAGAGATTCCAGAAAAGTAAGTTTTTTAAAAATCATAATTTATCGTTATAATTGACTATTTGATAATCAAAACCTTCTTTAATAACAAATAGTATTGATCCCTTTGAAAATGCGGAAGTGGAAATACGTGGTGGAATCGTGAAAATAAAAGTTGCAAAAGCAACAAATCCTTTAAAAAAAATGAAATTCAACTATGTTTAATATCGGTAAGTTTTCGCGTCAATTGCATGTAGAAACCCATGTTTAGCTTCAAATTTGCATAATTTAATTTATATTTATACAGCCTTCCAAAAGTTAGTTGATGACGTTACTGCTCAAGAATATACGGTTGAAGTTTAAAAAATTTCTAGAATTAAAATGTAATAATAATAATATATTAATATATTAATATAATAATGTATGTAAGAAATCAATAGGCGATTATCTATATGATTTTAATTTAGTTCGATTTACGTAACCTTCTCTGTGCATTGTATTCAAATCAAAGATAATAATATGATTCAAATATTTAAGTTTTTCTTTCCAAGTTAATTTTTCGAGTACCTGTTGTGATTTTCAAAGTCGGTATCTTCCTTGTAAACATAATTTTCAGGTTCTATTATACAAAAATCAAATGCACAGTAAGCCTAAATTTGAAGATTTCAAGTTTCATTCAGCAATGGTGCTTTTGTTTTCTCTGTGAATTGTACCCTAGAATCATACACGAAAAAGTATTAATTAAAACAATTATAGTTTTTTCATGAATTAATTAATGAGTCATACCAAAGCAAATAAACTATTTGAATCAATCCTCTAGCAGCTGGTGCTTTTTGCTGATAATTATAAAAAAA